ACTTTGTAGTACAACTTTAGTACGCGGAGCAATCTGTGGAGCTGGAAGCTGAGAACTGGCGACTTTGCAGTACAACTTTAGTACGCGGATGAGTCATCTCTCGCGGCTGAGTCATCTCTCGCAGCTGCTCTGGCGCCCCTGCAGCTGAGTCATGTCTCCCGACCACCCGGCTCTCTTGAGAGGTTGGCACACACACACACAGAGACCCACGCACTGCCTCAACTTACTCGGAGACACACACAGACAGAGACTCATACACACACAGACGTAGATACACACACACACAGAGACCCACACACTGCCTCAACTCACTCGACTTAACACTTCACACTGAACACTTAACAGATAACTCACACTCTGACTTCCTACGTGATGAAAAATGCTTTCGGGCCACTCGTCGTCTAGTTCACTTTTTTTCACAAAAAAACTAATATTTGATGGTTGGCCATGTATGGCTGCCATTGCCCAACATAAACATAGAACCTGAGAACTGACCCGTGGAAGACGATTTTCCGAATACCAATCCAGTAGTTTGGGGCTTCCATGCGCACCTCTGCAGGGGAGTCCCTTCCGTTCCACGCGACGCCACGACAAAGCACCCACCACACCCAGTATCACACCGTCGTACACCGCCCGTCATCCGTCGGTCCAGGCGAAGCGTCTTCAACAGCAGTCCTTAGACGTGATCCGCGGTGATGGCAAGGCGGTGAGCCATCGCGAACCGAGCGATCGGGCATCGCGGCTCCGGTCGGGCGAAGCCACCGGTGATGGTGGACGCAGTCACCGGTTGACTGGGGAACCGAACGGAGGAAGTCGGGGATGATGGGGGTGCCCATCTACTCCACTCACTGGATGGGACTATAGACGCCACCCGAGGGTCTTGTGACTCCTGGGGGAAGGTTCAGGTAGACCGGCTCAAGAGCCAGCGGAGAGGTTGGGGGCGAAGGGAAGAACCCCGCTCGAACAGGTAGAACGGAGAACATGAATGGAACCCAGACACGACCCATGGGACTGCCATAGGACTGCCGATCAGTTGGGGTGGTTTGAGGGGTCAATGGGGCGGCGGTCCTATGGCATACATACATGGAGTGTCTGGGGAAGAAAGATGTTGTAAGCGTCATTTCGTGACCAGCCGCTGGCCCCGCATGGCCCTTCGAACCGCAGGACTTGGAGTCTGTGATGGCCGTGATCAGCTTCCTGGACCGAACTGCCGCGGAGCGACCGGCTGGAACGAACGGGCCGCGTGTACCGGGAGGATGGGGCACTACCCGGCCTGTACCTTTGAAGTTCAAGTGGAGGCCTACACGGAGGGTTCCACCGGGGCACGAGCAGTTCCAGGCCATTTATGGGATCCAAAGGGCCCTGGTCAGCCGGTTCGGTACCTGGAGCCCTTTGTAACAGCAGTCACGGTGTTTGTGCTTCTTCAAAAAGATGACTAGCGCATGACGGTATTTTTGCCTTGTCAGAGTCAGCCCCCTCACAAAAAGAGGAAATTGCAGAATGACACTCACAATTTCCAGCACATGTTTGAGGACAACTCACTTTTAAATCTATGTAGTGAATGCTCAGATGCTGCTAGCTAGCTCGTTCAGGCGATGGTTTCATTGCCTCACAGAAGTCAACCGCATCCCGCGTTTTGTTTGACATCAGCGGCTATAATCCCGCTAGAGGTGTTGCCCAACTTCGGTGACATTCGCCCCCCTACTGAATGCATTGCCAACGCCCAACCCTTGAAACAAACAGATACCCCAGACGCCCCTGGAAGGCTCAAATGATGGAGTAGCCAGGGTGGTCCATTTGAGAGACCGTGGATGACAATGGTCTTTATAGAGGAATCAGTCTCCATGCATGGCAGATTTACTTATATACATTCACCCCTTTTCCACCACCCCAATTGTATGTAAATTGCCAGTGTTTGGATCAGTTCCATGCGCCTTGCCGAGGCGTGGCCTTACGGCGCTCGGATTGGGACCGAGAGTGGGACCAAATTTGGCTGGAGGTCCTACAAGAAGGCGATGGAACCTGTGACGCTCGCGTTTTAGGTGCCGGAGGAGTTTTTATGTGTTCCTTCTATAACTACAGTTAGTTGTTTGGCTGCCACTTTTTAGGGAGGAAGATATTGTATAATGTCTATAGAAAAACCTATCTCGGTAATGGTAGCTTGCCGTGGTTTTAACCGACCATGACCTGATTGTTTGTTTCGAGTTTGGAGTGATTTCTGGACGAACGCAGGTCGCGCTCAAGTGAAGAAGATGGTGGACGATGCGAAATCCAAAGGCGCGCCGGGCGCTGGACCTGAAAGGGAGACACAGGTGAGGTGTCCAAGCATGTGCGTGTGTGGGTGTGTGTGGGTGTTTGTTTGTTTAAGCATGTGGCTGGATCTTACAGAGCATGCACTTGGATCAGGAATTGGCTGGAGGGAGGTCAAGGATGATCAAGGATCCTACAGAACATCACACTTAATAAGTTGTTTATGGATGTTTGCTTAATTCAGAAGCCACTTGTTACATGGCCATGTTCTTCACAGAGCGTGCAAGGACCTGTGATGAAGGACGTCAGGGACCGCTCCACTACATCACCCTTCGGCAGGTCCATCCTTTGTCCTCCCACGTCAGGTGATCACCCGAAGGTGGCGAAGATCTACCGTTTGGCCGAGAAGCACGGCCTCCGCGGCTCGATGAGAGGATAAGACGACGCCGAAACTGAGACGACCCATCCGGTGAAGTGGATGAACTGGGCACATACACATGGGGTGTGTGATATTTGAAGAGGGGACCCATATCAACCCATACTGTATCAAGCCATGGATTTCGTTTGCTCTTGATTTCTCAGAGCTTTTTGAGGGATCTCCCTTTTCTAATACACACCAGCATATATGTGACTTCCGTCTTCACTTCAGGTCAAGCAGGCCAAATTCTGCTTCACTGGGAGATGGCATAGGCCCCGTTTCCTTCATTTCGGCGGAGTCAGGGCCACTTGATTGATGCAGGCCGCCCTCTGAGCTGAAGCTCGCTGCAGCCATTTGCAGCTGCTCCGCAGCCGCTTTTTGAGGTGTTCCCGAGAGTTCAGGGTTAGCCGGGTGACTGGCGCATGGACAGGCTCCATGTGCCGGACAGACTCCATGTCATGTAGTACTCCAAGCCGTTTGGGTTGGGGATGCCATGCCGGATCATTGATCACCAACCCACTGCCATTGATGATGCCACACCTTGGGAACGTGTGACTGACCCCTTCAGTGGATCAGGCGTGAAAAACCCTAAGTTGAACACCAAATGATGGAGAAGGACAGGTGGGAAGGTTCATAGTTTGTACCAGGGGCCCTCAAAACCATGAAAAATAGAGGTTTTCATACACAAAAACCAGATATTTTTGGCTGGGGAGAAACCAGGTTTTGGATGGTTTAAGGGGCCCCTGGCATCGTCCGTCCCGACTGAACTGCGGTGGACGGACGTTCGCCCGGTCGGTCGCGGTGCGTCCCGTCTTCTCGGACCGAGGAGTCATTGCTGCGCATACGGTGGCCGTGTGGGAGGACGGAGACGGGGTTGTTTTGTGTCTGCCGGCCCCGTCTCGGATCGATGCGGTCGGTACATTGAAAAATCCAGGGTGTGTGGGGGGGTAAACTTGTGTCAGTGACGGGTGTGTTGTTGTTGTTGTTG